ACTGATTTAGTCACAGATAGTCACACGTACTTTGACTTCTCACTGAAGTGAAATTCATTTATAGGCCTTCATCGCTTTTCCTAAACAAAGTTATCGGTGTAAGCGGTAAGAGAGCGAACTCGAGCAGGCCATATCCTGTGCTTATCAGCATTTCTCGAGCCAGAGGGGGAAAAGGTAAATTATTAGGAAAGATAAATGCATATAACAAAGAGTGACATTAATACTCTTGTTATACTCAGGCATTTCCGGATTTGAGGAAAAATTTGCATAAAGATCACTGATTGATATTGAAACCTACATAAGTTCTGGCCCTTTTACAACTACTGTCCTTGCTGTCACTAGGATTCCTACTATCACTCGATTATCATAATCGGAGCTGGCGTGAAATCCAGGGTTAATCATTGGTGGGCATCCGCATCTGTTTTTATGCGTTTTAGCTCTGCAGCGCTATAGCGCTAAAGTGCTGCTACAGCCAGCAAAAACGCATATTGTCGAGAGGCTGTGTGTGAGTCTGTGTTCAGAAGCGATTGTACTTTGTCACCCTCTTTCATCTCAGCAACCAGGAAGGCTGGAAGGTTAAAACTTTGGGTATATGTTCCTACCCCGTGCGTCAACTTCTTGTTTCAAGTTTTTCCTCCATACGAGCCTAGACACCAAGTAGGAACCCCCGAAAAAAATATGCAAATTTCGTCGGCGGGAAACGATTTCGCGAACCAGGCAAGGTACAAAGCTGAAACTTTGCAGCGACATTCTCTGTGCGTGTGCGAACCAAAGATTTCAAATTCAGCTGTCGCGCACGCTTGTACAGCGCACACGATCACGTCAAAGTTTGCAAACTGGTAGCTTGCTTACTCGAAAATTTGCCGGAAAACAATGGCTGAAATTTTGTCAATATTTTTATCGCCCATACAGGAAATCGTATACCTAAAATGAAACTCTCGGAAACCACGGAAATTAGGAAACTGAAAATTTAGGGGAATGTTTCTAACCCGCATATGACTCCGCAAATTTAAATTCAGCTCCCGGCACCCGCGGGTAACACGTGCGGCCCCGTAACAGCTTTTGCAGGGGAAATTATTGTCTCGGAAACCACGGAAGTCAGGAGGCCGAAATTTTGTAGGCATGCCCCTTGTACACGTGCGAACCAGAAAATTCAAATTCAGCCTTCCCGTGCCGGCGGATAACATACGGGGACTCATGAAACTTTTGGCAGGTAAATTATTATCTCTGGAACCACGAAATCTAGAAGGCTGGAATTTTATGGATATATTCCCTGTCCACATACGACGTCTCAAATTTAAATTCAGCATTCTCGCGCCTGCGGTTAACATGAGCGGCCCCGTGAAAATTTTAGTGGGTAAATTATTATCTCGGGAACCACGAGATCTAAGAATTTGAAATTTCAGAGCAACGACCCTCTGCCTACGTATGACTTCGCAAATTCAGCCTTCCTGTGCCTGTGGATATCACACGCGGCCTCATGAAACTTTAGGCGAATAGATCATTATCTTGGGAACCACAAAAGCCAGGAAGCAGGATTTTTACGGTAAAGCCCCCACACACATTTACAATCTCGTAGATTTAAATCCAGCCTTGTCGTACGTTCGAGGTCATTTAAGGCCGCGTGAAAGTTTCGGTGGGGAAAATTGTTATCTCGAGAATAGCGGAAGTTGGGAATCTGAGTCTTTAGAGTGATGTTCTCTACTAACGTACGATCCCGCAAATTTGGTTCTAGCCTTCACGCACCTCTAGGTACTACGCACAGCCCCGTGAGTATTTTGGTAGGGGAATTATTATCTCGTGAACACATAAAGCTAGAAAGCTAAAATTTTTGCGTGGTATCCCTTGCTCACTTAAATCTTCGTAAATCTTCAAAGTTTTCATGGAAGTTTTGGCGAGAAAAATCATTATCTGGAGAGGTAGAAGAGCTAGGAGGCTGAAAATTTCAGGAGGATGTTTCCTGTCTATGCAGGGGCTTCACAAACGAATTCAGTTCCTAAGCATGCCGAATTTTCACGTACAAACATGTGAATGCTTTGTCATAAAAAACAGTCGAGAGCCGGAAAATCAGGAAGCTGAAATTGTGGAAGGATATTCATTTATTCGAAGTTTAAAATTCAGCATTAACGCGCCGGTGCTTGAAATTTTTGGTGGGAAATTCTGTAACTTTGGAAATAGACAATATTTCAACTATTTTTGCACACCAAAGTGCAAAGCTGTGAAAATCATTAGCAGGCAGTCGTTCGGTGGACGGAATTGCACAAAACGCATGATCGCACCGGCTGCCCTGGTGCGCACCGCTATTTATTTTAACATCACTATTTACAAATACCAATAGGTTTAGTTGCACTATTAAATATGAATACACAGGACTTAATCGATCGAAGCATTCCTGCCCATCTGATTATTTTTAATATATTTTTTTAAAATTTTTCCGTTCTTTAAATTGCTATTAATTTTTTTACTATCTTTATAATGTTGCACCTGCGTGGCATCCGCTGGCCAGTAATTCGGCTGTTCTCTTTGACTGTCAGAAACTTCTTTGTTAAAACTTGCAGATGTGAGTTTTTTCCATGCTGCGAATGCTGCTGAATCAAGCAAATTTCTCTGCACCTTTGACTGTGGTGATTGAGCTTCTAGTGGCCTTTGCAGCGTTGTCCTCAACAAACTGTTTGACTGCACGGGATCATCAGGAACGGAGCTGTGAACTTGCGGATCTTGTTCAGGGAACTGCAGGGCATTTGCTTTTTTTGGATGAGCACTGCTTTCTGTTTCACTTTTTGGATAATCCTGAATTGCCTGTGAATCGTAAGATCCTGGAAGATAATTGGTCGCGTATTCCCGTAGTGCAAATGGAAATGGCACAGGATTGTTAACTGGCCACAGAGCTGGACGTAGTGCTTGATAATTTGCAGGATTCTGAGAGACAAAACTAGCTTGTCTGGAAGCACTTGTTTGTAGCGGATTCTCGAAATACGAATAGCCGCTTGGATTTGCCGGTTGAGCATGTTGGTATTCAGGCACATTCCACTGACTGTATGTTGCAGACGATGCTTCCGGATTGCTTCGTGCACTATTCGTGGTACTCTGAAAGCAAAATTTTTTTTTGCAGCTTACAGGATTTTTGCTGCAGCTGGCATTTTTAACAGCTTAGATATCCCCTTCATCAACTACAGATCATTATAGCAACAAAAGTTTTAAAATTTGATGTAGCTACCTTTTTCATCTGGTGCGATTTATTGTTACTAACCACTAACTTGTTAATTTCAACGTGTTTTCCTGTTTCCATAGTTAAGTATTGTTGGGCGTGCAAATCGGCACAAAATCTCTTTTACTTGGAATGCGTTTTTGCCCATATGCAAATTGCAAAAACGCATATTGGGACGACCCTGTCTGTGTGTGTATGCTATGCGTTTTTGCCTATATGCAAATTGCAAAAACGCATATTGGGACGACCCTGTCTGTGTGTGTATATGCGTTTTTGCCTATATGCAAATTGCAAAAACGCATATTGGGACGACCCTGTCTGTGTGTGTATGTATGTATGTTGCCTATATGCAAATTGCAAAAACGCATATTGGGACGACCCTGTCTGTGTGTGTATGTATGC